TTTATTTATCTTATTTCTAAAAATGGTCATGCATAAATTAGCCATGATTAATTTAAACTGTCAAATTTTAACCGGATTAAACGGACATCCGGATTGTCAACACTCAATCCGGTTTAATCTGATTTGATGCGGGTAACCCGGGTGATCACAAATCGGTTCGAATCTCTAGTAAATACTAATTGTTCTTCATTGATCATCATGATAATACTTCATTTTTTGTAATACAGTCAGGTAAAAACGTTTGATGTTTTATTTGATGAGTATGTTGATTCAGTCATAAATATACAAGACAAAAATAAGGTAGCTGAGTTAAGTGAAAATCTTGAGGATGAGTTCGATGAGATAAAATTTAATATTAATGATATCTCAAGAGAATTATAGATTAAGTCAGCAGTTAAAGTATGTCATGTATTGGATTTTTATTTTATATTTCGTATATCTCAGTTTTTTTTTTTAGTGAAAAGTTAACAATATTAACGTAATAAATAGATTTTGGAATTATCAAAAAGATATACTCAGAAAGGTGAAATAAGAAGGTTAGATTACTCAAATATATACGAATCCTTATAGGTATTCTGAAATATAATATTTATAGCGATTTAAATCAAAATTTATTAAAAAATTTTTAATCATTTCATTTAAAGCATTTATCTTCATAATTATTCTCAGTTGACTGTGTCTATATCTACAAATCAAGAATAGACAGAAATTATAAAATCAAATCCAATATACTTCCTGCTCCTAAAAGAGATTTCATGAAGCAATTTCAGTGATGATGTTTTTATGAATGGTAGAAAAATAAAGCTAAGTAGAAATGTAGCGTGTTCATTCAAAGATTTGCAAGTATGCAAGTTTCATCATATTTCGTTTATTATCTGAGTTTGTGATTCTCATAACATTCTTTTTCTAATATATTACATAAATATAATGGCTTATCAACGTTCATATCAAAAAATAATGGAAAAAATAACAAAAGAGAAACATTATTACATGTTTCTCTATCCAGTTACTAAACCCTTTTTTCTCAATCCTCTTAGAGAGTATAAACTTATTCTGAACTATACAATATCAAAGTTAAGAAAAAGGCCTGACTTTTTTTGTATAGTTAACGATATCATAATTCTCAACTCAAAAATAAAATGTACATCACTCCAGCAAAAAAAACACTGTAAAAGCACAATTACGAGTCTACAAATCAATTAACATGCAAATATAAAGAAAAGGTGGTCCAACTGAAGCTAGTATATTTTTGAATATGGGTATATGCTTACAAAGTAGCTATTATATTTTGCAGTATGTTGTTGAATTAAGATTTTGTGATAATTAGATGAATGGGTAGAATCATTTTTCATGGACTTACAATATGACAGACTATACCATTCCTAACCGTTTCTTACTATAAAGCTGATAACTGAAAAGACTTCAATTCTATTAGTAGAGTTTGCAATTAGTCATATAATTGCTTTGGAAATATGTGATATATTCACTTTGAGTTATAATAAAATAATTCTTAAAACTTTTACCTTTTGCAATATAGAAACGCATTGCAAGGCTTGCAGAAAACTACAAATATCGAGATAATCAAAATGATCAAAATGGTCAAATCACATCACCTACATCTGAAATCTATCTATTATATTAATATTATCAATTTCCTATTAAAAAAAAAGAAAACTGAGATACACTATCCTGAAGAAAGTATCCAGATACAGTTTTTTGTGAATTGTGGCTTAAGTTTATATGGTATAAAAATATTATTATTTATATTTTTATATAATGCATGTTTCGATATATTAATTAAATATATTTTATTTTCGTTTGAAACTACTTTGCATATTATGCATTTATAAATAAATAAAACTGATTTCAATTAAAAATACCTCAAAATGCAATAATTTTCACATTTTCTAAATTATTTTGACATGCAATTATTCAATTTTAATCAAACATATCTTGACAGAAAGATCTCAGTGAGATGAGTATGACAGTTTAATTTTATATCTTCATAATCAGTATTTTATAAGATATTCGCATTTATATATTCTAAGGTTAATCAAAATCAAAGATTGTATTTTATTGTTTTATAAAAAAAATTTCTTAATGCATTTATAAAAAATTTAAAGAATAATAATCTAGATAGGATAGAAAGAAATTATTAACAATATTGTTAGCTCAAAAGTTATTAAATTTAAAAAAATTATAAATTTTTTGGTGCCTGGATACTTTTTTCAGAATAATGTATATGAAATATAAAAACAAAAATTTAATACATGATATACTTTAACTGCTGGCTTGCATTATAAAATCAATTACTTTATTTTGTCTTATATGTTCACAATTAAATTAATATAATCATCAAATGAGATATTAAATATTTTGTCTGACTGTATTATAAAAAATAAAGTATAATTATAATGATCAATAAAGAATAAATTAGTATTTACCTTTTTGTGATCTAATGTAGAATTGTATTAAAATAATTCAAACTATTTATCTCTTCTATTTTCAATATTTTTATTACTAGTTGTTTCAATAATTACTATTAATTCTCTATTTTTTATCAGTTTTAAATCAGAAAATTCTGATAAGTACTGAAAAATAATAGTAAAAAAGGATAATAGGAAACTGTTCAAAATATATTGAATCAGATATCTATATCACTTTATTAGTTACATATTAAATATAAATATAATTACTTCAGTATATTAGTATATGATACCCAATATCTATAAAATTATTTGCTTTATATCAGTAAATAGTACTAAATTATTTTATTTTTAATAAATAAAGATTATTCTATTAGAAATGTTAAATTTATAATAATATACTTAAAATTTATTATTCTTTTTAAAATAAATACAGAATATACTAATTATTAATTCTTTACTAATCTAATTTATAATTGTTATATTATTCTTCTCTTACTTTTCTTTTAATTCTTTTTATTAGTATTATTCTCAATATTAGATTTAGTAATTTTTATTATTGATCCTATTATTATTACTTATATTATTATTGATTTCATTAACATATTTTTCAATGAATAATTTTAGAGATCTGTTGTAACTAACCTTAGTCTAATAAAAAGTATTTACAGATATTTACTAGATAACGCTCTTATAAGAGTATTATCTAGTTCAGTTATAATGTTACCTAATTATGAGTAAATTGTTGCCTAGTTACTGTTTTTATTATTTTATAGTCATTTTATTGCTTTATTGATATCTATTTATTTTTATTGCTCTGTAGCCTTTTTTATTGCTTTGTAGATATTTGCTTGATTTTATTGCTCTATCCTCTTTTTATTACCTTTTAGCTATCCGCTTATTTTTATTACTCTGCGGTCTTTTTGTAGCTATGATGTTAGGCCAGCATTATTTGCTAAAATCATGTTGTAGTCAGGTAGCATAGTCAAATCACATGACTTTATTTTAGTTAATTTCAGCGTTCTTAGGTCGCCCAAAATTATGGCTAGTCGAATTATTGTAATTTATTGCGTCAAAAAAAATCATGTGCGTGATGTGCTTCCAGAACCTTCCCGTCACTTCCCTGTCACTTTTTGCTACTTTTGAGGTTCTGACTGGAGGATCTGATGGTTGAAGAATCGGAAGTACTAAGATCAGCTTATGTAATTGCCAGAAATTAGTGCTGAACTTGCTTGCAATCCTACTCTCATTTGATTGCTGGGTTGAGGCACGAAGTGCTTAATTTGCAATCCATATATTTTTCTTCTCAATTGCCATCTCTTAATTGCTGGTTGAGACACGAAGTGCTGAATTTACAATCCATCCATTTGTTGAAGATGTGTTGCAATTCATTCACCTACTTTTTATTGCTGATCAGACACATGTGAAGTGCCAATGTTGTGCTATTCTTGTAATTCCGTTCATGACCATTTTGATTGCTGAGGATGAGCCATGAAGTACCAAATTAATAATCCAGATGCACAATCCTACCTTTTATAATTCTTTTGATTGCTGAGGATGAGGCACGAAATGCCAAATCAAGTCTGGCCATACTCTTTTCATGCTCTTTTTCTCATATTTTCCTAAATTTTTCTGCCTTTCTGATCTCTTTATTACCTATCACCTGGTGATCTGAATACGTAAAATTTATTCTCTCTCTTTCCTATATATAATTCTGCGTATTTGGGTCACTAAAATTTCGCATGTTTTAGCTTCTAGATTCTGTTTTTATATAGTTACTACTTCAGGATATCTTTGCATCGATTGCTTTGGAGTATTATTTAGTATATTTATTACATATTCATGCTAGTAATCTG